GTGTGCCTTGGCAGTCTTGCAAATAAATTCTTTAAAAATCAGACAATGTGATTTTCTGGATTTTTTTTTCTCATTTTGTCTCTCATAGTTGAAGTGTACCTAGGATGAACATTACAGGCCTCTCATCTTTTTAAGTGGGAGAACTTGCACAATTGGTGGCTGACTAAATACTTTTTTTCCCCACTGTACTTGGTTTTTGTAGCTAAAAGCAGCTAGAGACCATTCAGCTAATAACATATTCAGCTAAATTCAGCCACAAATGAACAGTTTACAGCATTCGCACGCATTTTCTGCAGGAAATGCATTTTCTAATTGCCTCTTATTTTCTCTGCTTACGATGTACTGTTTTCTAAATTAAGCGTTAAGTGGAGACACGACATGATGTTTAGTACCTGCGGTGAGGCCGAGCTGGAGGAGGGAGCCGGGCCTGAGGAGGGGGGGCCGGCACCTGAGGAGTGGGAGCCGCCAGCCTGCAGCGCAGCAGCAGCGTAACTCAACCTCTCACTCTGAGGAGACACTGAGGGGAGAACAGAGCAGAGGGCTGCTGAGGAACAAAGTAGCTTGGTAATAAAGAACGCCTACCTTTTGTCTCCTTTAGAGCTTTACATTAAAACCTAATTAGTTCACACTTGCCATGTTTTTCATGATTTGAGGTGATAAGCCCTTTTGTAACAAGGAAATGAAATCATGTAATTGTGCTTCAGGAGCTGGTCAATTCAAATGAATGGATTTACCTTTCGGTGAGGTAGTGGACTTTGTTGCATGGTCCCGATTGAAGAAGAGACTGCCAGGTTGAAGGCTGGGAGCGGAGGATGGAGGCTCCTCCTTCACCCTGAACTGTCCCAGCTTTGTCAGTTTCTGAAAAGAGAGAAGAAAGACAAGCTTAGTGCCAAAGGAAAAGGTGGAGAGAGGTGCTGGAGTCGTTTTTTTTTTTTAAGATATGGCAATACGTTTACAATATGAAATCTAAGGAAACTTGGCAGGCGTATGCTGATTACAGCTCACTCTCAGTTGCTCGCTACAGTGTATTAAAAAACAGATAAAGACGGAATAAAGATCTACAGGACATATTCTTGGACAATATGTACGTCAAATCTTGAGCTTGTTATATACATCGATTGAATGGAGCTTTTGAACCCAAATGTCACATTAACTCAAGCATTGCTGTGTCATGGCAGATGTATTGCTCAGGACCCAAGGATGCACTGTGTCGGGTTTAAAAAAGTTTTGGATCAGCAGTTCTTGAGAAAGCTGAGAGCAGAAACAACAGAGGCAAGCCAAAACTCGGACAGACACTGGTTTAGTCATCTTTAAGTTGATGAGTTCTTAGAATAGATTTAGGTGCCACACACACACACACACACACACACACACACACACACACACACACACACACACAGCTTCTTATTTACTGAACTTTATGTACAGTCACTAATATGAATGTTTAGTTGTTTACTCTCTTTGGTGTGTCTGGATTCTCAAACTGGTTTGTTTTGGAACTTTATTTAAACTTTATTAAAAATAGGAAAGGGTATTTCATCTCAATATCTTTAAGGGCTAACCTCAAATGTGTCACATAGTGAAATAATTGAGTATCAAAAGTCCAAAATGTGGAAAGTTACATCCGGTCAGAAGATGTGCGTAAATCTTTTTTAGGATCAGACAGAATTTTGATGGAGAAACTATTTTGAGAATTGTTGACTATTTCATTTAGGCAACACTTGCTTGAGATCTTGTGTTCGGACCACATTTAACATCAGAGATGCTTTGGTAGAGGGATAAGAACAAAACAAATCATATTTATTTTCAAAATAAGATATCTAAAAGTATGGATTTAGTGTGAGCAGTGAGTCATCATATCAGCAAAAACAAATATAAACTATATTCAGTGAAAATAACCAGAAATACAGAACATCTTCAGGCCCGTTGGAGTTTAGGGACCTGACGCGACTTACCGGGGAGGTTGTTGGAAGAGGATCATTTTTGTCAGGCGGTGAATGAAACTTCACAAAGGCCAGTCCGTATGCTATGTTCTAGAAAAACAGATACAAAACCATCTTAGATTAGATTAGATTACTTTATTGTCATTACAAAATGCAAGCACAGTGTAACGAAATCAAGGAGGGTCTAACCACAGTGCAAAACACTCAGTTATATACACAATTATCAGAAGTATGTAATAAATGATAAGGTAAATAGATGGGAAAGGAATACAGTGAACACAGTACTGTATATAAAGCAGTAATGTACAAGGATAATTGCGCTTCAGCACAGCACACGACAACAACTAGGCAGTATGGCAGTATTAGTGTTCATTTCACAAAAACCAATGGATATATGCTTATTAGTGTACACTGGACTACTGGATCAGAACTGGACTATTAAACACAACAGTCCAGCAGATCGATTTGTTTCTGCACATGTGAAGCAATCATTTCGACTGATGTCTAATGATGTGGCTCTATGGTAAAAGTGGTGTGAAAATAGTCCAGATTACAATTGTTTTACTTTTGGATTCTGTTGATTAAGAGTGAGATGGATATATTATTTGCACTCAACGACTGAACCTCTACCTTGCTGTACGGCTGGCTGCACACAATTTTCACTCTGTCCCACTTCTCCTGAGTCGCGCTCTTCTGCAGCTGCTGAGGCCCGAAGAAACGCACTCGGTTCATGTTGGTGCCGTTACGACTCTCCGTGGGCGACATGAAGGAAGACGTAACCAAGAGAACCTAAGGGAGAAAAGGATTGACATAAAAGGATTAGAAAGAAATGGAGTTATTACCATAATTAGGAGGAGAAATACTTTGTAGTGATGTTTGGTTTTAAGAATACCTCATAGTCCTGATCTCTGACAGCTGAAGAATTCCCCACCAGCACCTCGATGAAAGCAGAGCCTTCATTTCCAATATCAATGCTGTGCACCTCCTCCTCCTTCTCTAACTGAGAGAAAAGAAACAGCTCAGGTCAACAGAGCACACACACAAACATAAGTCAAAGAGCTAAAAAAAATGTGATTTAAGAAGTGAAAGTATATAACAAGACTCTGCTTTAACACCGGAGTTTCCGTTAGCCGGTAATTACATGACTTTGACCGGTAAAATATGCTGAAGACCGGCAAATCTAATTCTCTATACATCTATATCAGTTGCGCCACTTATGTGACATACAAAAAAGTATGTGACAGACAAGAATAGTCCATTCTAATGTCTATCACTTAAAGTGGAGAAAGAGATGTGCTGTATGGGTTGATTGTGCGTTGATCTGTTGGTAATGCCTCGGGGTTCCGGTGGGCATGTAAACAAATGCATAATGCTGCGCTATACTTTGCGGCCTCACCCGGTTGCATAGCGACACTAATTGTTTAGGTGTCTTTTAATAAGCAGGTAGTCATATCATTAGATAGAACTAGCTAGATCTCATCGATATGGACATAGACGCGAGTGAAGTCTAATCTGACGGGAGAGAGAGATCAGCTGCTGCTGACGAGTCGACACGCAGCTCTGCATGATCACATGCAGCGGTGAGCGGACAAAACACACACTTCAGGTTAGAATATCACACGTAGCTATTTGAATTACCTCTCAAACTACCGTAACTAGTTATAGATATGTTTAGTTTTACTGTCGGGTCACTCATTACTGGATCCGCGAGCTGCATGATACTGGCATAATAGATTGCCTGATCGGGCAACCAGCAGGTGAGGCTTCATTGCCCGAGCTAAATACTAGATGGCCCCGGGCCATCGGGCAGTCCTTAATGTCGAGCCCTGTACATTATACAAACATGGGTTAATGATTAGAGGTAACTGAGTTATTTATTTTGTTAAGGTTTCAGCTATTCTGTTTACAGTTCTGTCATCAGATTATTTAATACGATGTTAAAACGTTCTTGTTTCTTTTGATGTGAAATATTATGTATTTAATTTAAATAAACTGTGGTAAAAAGAGCCGGCTCTTCTTGTTAGTGAGCCGAGCCAAATGATCCGGCTCACTAAAAAGAGCCGTGAGCCGGCTCTTTTTACCACAGTTTATTTAAATTAAATACATAATATTTCNAAGCGGATAGTTTTTTCCTGGCTACACAACAGCCCGGTGCAGAGACATTAGCCGCAACGCTCAGCGGCCCATCTGCAGTCAAGAAAGCGTGGCGGAGGCCGGACACGGCAGTTTCGAGCCGGCGTGGGGACACCGGAGAGTGCTTTTACCACCCACGTTTTGGGACAATGGCTAAGAAATGCATCGCTCCGTGCAGCTACAAACCCCCGGGAAACGGAGGGGCCGGCGCTCAGTAGTGGCCCTGAGCGTCGGCGGCACGGGCAGGCTCCTCTTCGCCAGCGACAGCGTTTCGGGGGTCCTCTTTCTGTGTGACACGGGCGCTCAATGGAGCGTAGTTCCCGCGTCGAGTGAAGACATCGCCCGTGGTGGGCACGGACCGCGGTTGACGACGGCGGTCCCGCTGTCAGGGGCAGACACGTTTCTCAGACTGTTGGCCGAGTTTCCAGACTTGTCATTGCCCACCTTCTCTGCGCTTACCACTAAGCATGGCGTGGAGCACCACGTCACTACCGAGGGGCCTCCTGTCTACGCCAGGGCCCGGTGGTTGAACCCTTCTAATCTGGCTGTTACGAGGGCGGAGTTCGCAACCATGGAGCGCCTGGGCATTGTCCGACGCTCCGACAGTCCTTGGGCTTCCCCCCTGCACGTCGTCCCCAAACCGAACGGCGGGTTCCGCCCGTGCGGGGATTACCGCCGACTCAACAACGCCACGGCGCCTGACCGCTATCCGGTGCCGCACATTCAGGACTTTTCGTCGCATCTGGGCGGTACAGGGGTGCTTTCCAAGGTGGACCTGGTGCGTGGATACCACCAGGTGCCCATGCACCCCCTGGACATTCCCAAGACAGCGGTGATAACACCTTTTGGACTTTTTGAGTTCCTGCGGATGCCTTTTGGGCTCAAGAATGCCGCTCAGACGTTCCAGCGCCTGATGGATTCGGTGCTGCGGGACCTGCCGTTTGTGTTTGTCTACCTCGACGACATACTCGTCGCCAGCGCTTCAGTGCAGGAGCACCTGTCCCACATCCGAGCCCTTTTCACGCGGCTCAACGAACACGGATTAATCATCAATCCTGCAAAGCGCCAGTTCGGGGTGTCTGACATTGATTTCCTGGGGCACCGCGTCACCAAGGGCGGTGCGACACCTCTGCCAGCGAAGGTGGAGGCTGTTGCGGCTTTTCCTCGCCCGCTCACAGTCCGGTCGCTCCATGAGTTTCTGGGGATGGTGACCTTCTACCACCGTTCATCGCCCGGGCCGCGCACATCATGCGGCCGCTGTATGAAGCGTTGAAAGGCAAGACCCCCGGGCGATCGACTGGACAGCAGAGGCGGACGTCGCTTTTGCCGGGGTCAAGACTGCGTTGGCTCAGGCGGCTTTGCTGGCACACCCATCATCTACGGCTCCCATCTCCATCAACACGGACGCGTCGGACTACGCGGTCGGCGCAGTGCATGAGCAGTGGGTGGAGGGCGCTTGGCAGCCGCTCGCCTTTTTCAGCCGCCAGCTGACGCCCAGAGAACGCAGGTACATCGCTTTTGACCGTGAGCTTCTGGGTCTTTATTTGGCCGTGCGGCACTTCCGTTTCATGTTGGAAGACCGGGAGTTTACGGCATTTGTCGATCACAAGCCGCTCACTTTCACCATGTCTAAAGTGGCGGAGCCTTGGTCGGCGCGTCAGCAGCGGCAGCTTTCCTACATCTCTAAGTTCACCACAGACATTAAGCACGTGGCTGGCAAGTCGAACCTGGTTGCTGATTGCCTCTCCAGAGTCGTAATCGGTGCCGTCCAGTTGGACCTGGACTATAATCGCATGGCGGCTGACCAGGTCACAGACCCCGGCGTCCAGACTCTGAAGGTGGAGGGCGCGGTGCTGCGCTTGGAGGACGTGGTGTTCGGCGACACAGGCGTTACCCTCCTGTGTGACGTCTCCACAGGCTGTCGCGGCCAGTCGTTCCCACCAGCTGGAGGCGTCCTGTGTTCGAGGCTGTGCACGGACTGTCACACCCCGGCGTTAAGCCTTCGGTTCGCTTGGTGGCCGCGAAGTTCGTCTGGCAAGGACTGAAAAAGGACGTGAGGACTTGGGCTGGTGAGTGCGTGGCTTGTCAGCGCGCTAGGGTGCATCGCCACACGAAGGCCCCTTTGGAGCGTTTCCTGGTGCCTGAGAGGAGGTTTGACCACGTTAACATCGACCTGGTTGGTCCATTGCCCTCCTCTCAGGGTTTTTCCTACCTCCTCACCATGGTGGACAGGACGACCCGTTGGCCGGAGGCGGTCCCGCTCGTTTCGACGTCGGCCGCAGATGTTGCCCGGGCCTTCATTGCAACGTGGGTGTGTCGTTTTGGCACCCCGTCGGACATTTCCTCAGACAGGGGCTCTCAGTTCACGTCCGAACTCTGGAACGCCGTGGCAGGCGGTTTGGGGGTTAAGCTGCACAGGACTATCGCTTACCACCCTCAGGCTAACGGCCTCTGCGAGCGCTTCCATCGCTCCATGAAGGCGGCCCTCAAGGCCGGACTTACGGACAGTAACTGGGTCGACAAGCTGCCCTGGGTGATGCTGGGCCTGAGGACCGCACCTAAGGAAGATCTGCAGTGCTCTACAGCGGAGATGGTCTACGGGCAGCCGCTGAGAGTTCCAGGGGATTTCCTCCCGAATGCATCAGCTCCCTGGTCTGCCACGGCCCAGCGGGTTTTCCTGCGAGACGCAGCGGAGGCTTTCGCTCCGGTTCCGACTTCGCAGCACGGTGCGCCAGGGTCCCAAGTTCCCGCGGAGCTACGCTCGGCTGGGCACGTCTTCATACGGCACGACGCACACAGAGGCCCCCTGCAGCCCCCTTATGATGGACCTTTCCGGGTCTTGGAGCACGGTGACAAGCACCTGGTGGTCGACATGGGCGGCAAGGCTGAGCACGTCTCGATTGACCGGGTGAAGGCTGCTCATTTGGACGTGGACCGGCCGGTGGTGCTGGCTCGACCGCCGAGGCGGGGCCGCCCTCAAGCTTTGATTCCTGTCAGGGGGTGTGGACCGGTTGTTCCGATCCCTCCTCTGACGGGGGCCGCACAGGCGGAAGTCGCTGTGCCGGCTCCGGTGCGCAGGACTCGTGGGGGTAGGCGTGTGGTTCCTCCCCGCCATACGGATTTTGTTTACTTGTGAATTCTGGGGGGGCTTGTGTGGTGACACCATATTGTGGACCATAATTCACCTTGCTTGTTGTGTTGCTACACGGACCCTTTAGTGGGAACACCGGTAGCGTTAGCTATTCAGTCCTGCTAGCTTGTCATGCAGAGCAGACGTGTATTACCTTCTGGATGTTAACCTATAATAAAGAGTGGAACTCCATTCTAAACCCACCGCCTCCGACTCCCTTTCCTCGGCACCACAAAACTCATATTTGAAATACTAGCTCATTGTGTTATCTTTGAATGTTTAAAATGTAGGGAAGAAACACAAACAGATAAAGCTTAATATTACCAGTAAACAAGCCGAGCAGTCTGAGCAGAAGTGCAGTTCCCATCGAAGAAAGTAGTCGCTGCACACATTTAGTAAGCCACCTTTGACATCAGAATTTCTGAAACACAGCAGCGTTACACATGTTACTTTATTTACAGTTTAAAATATTTGTGTTATTTCTGTACATTACTTTGGTCTTTTATACTGTGGTACAGGAAACTGTATATACCTAGCAGATTTCCGATGTCCAGTCACATATCAAAAGTCCATATGTTACTGCAAATCCTTTAGAGCAGTCACTTTTGAACACTTAAAGGCCTGAAGCACCTCATTATCAGAGTAGCAATTACACACTATTATTCTGTAGTACTGTATTGAGAATTTGAAATGTATAGGATTCATGTTTTAATTGAGTGGATTGACAGGAGCGCTTACCTT